GGAGAAAAGTGGAGAGAGGGGTAACTTGAAGCCTAGAATACGCGATCATGTTATGCTTGCAGTTGGCAGCACGCGCAAGGGACGTGGCGAAGCTASCTGCTTCGTCTTTCAATGCATGGAAGGCTACGAGGACTTGTTCCTTAGAGGTGATATGTTGCAGATACACGTATGTATTGATACTAGCCTCCCAGTTATCAAAGTCATCGTCCTTCTTCCCGCTATAAGCATCAGGGAATTTGAGTTTTACTGGCTCTTTGCGGGGACGTGCTGCGGCCTCTGTTGTGGCCACGACTGTGGCACTTTCAATGGCGCCTGCGCATAACTTATCTACGCCTTCCTGTAATCTTTTAACCTCGGTCCCGACGTGGGTCAACGTGGGTCACCACGTCGCGTGCAAGCTGTCTAAAGCCCGACCGGATGGCATGCAGGGTCACATCTTGACCCTTATTAGCCTGATGCTCCTCAAGCCAGGCCTCACTCAGGACCTCCAGATACCCTATAATCTTATCTAACTTTGCAGGGGTTTCTGTCTGTGCCTGCACCTTCTGTCTGCATGCCCGGACTCTTTCCACCTCTCTTGCCACTCGGTTGGCTTCCTCCCTCCTTCTCTTCTTCTCCCTCATCATACGCAACTTCGACTCCAACTTCTTTTCGTCTTCAATTGTCCGACGTTCCAGGGGGTCCTCCATCATTTCCAATACCCTGACGAATGCTTCTCTCTCCTCCTGGGGCACATACAGCAGTGCATCTTCGTCTTCTCCCAACGATAAATTAGCTACCCACTCGCTAATTTTCTTCTCCATCCATGCGTCCTCTCCCTTCGTGCCACTGATCTCTCCTCTATCTCCCCCACGCCTCCTTTCAAGGGGTTCTTCTTCTTCTACCTCCTCCTCCTCTGCTGCTGCTTCTTCTTCGGCAGCCTTCCTCTTCTCTTCCTCCTCCTGCTGTAGCTTCAACATCTTCTCCTTTTGTAATCTCATCATCTCCTCTTCTAACTTCTTCTTCTTCGCCGCCTGCTCCTCTGCGATAGCTTTTATCTTTGCCTGTTTGAGGAGCTCCTTCTTCTCCTTCATCTCCTTTCTCTCTTTCAGAATGGCGGCGGTACGCTCCTCTTAAGCTTGGGTGTAGGGGGCGGTACTCTTCCCACTACGGGTGTCAACCATGGTGCAAGGTGCACAACCAGACAATGGTTCCACTCTTCACCACTTAGACTCTACTCCCCCTGACTGACAAACCTATTGACTCAATCTAAGGACTTACAAAATCCGGACAGGATCCTATCAACTAGGGTCTCGAGCCTAGACCTCCTCTAAGGCTGTCACTACAGGACCTGTTGTTGATCAGGAGGCATTTAAGGAGATCCCCCGTAACCCCTCGGGAATTATTTAACGTCGCTGACAGGACGACGCGATCAGCAGGTCCTCTCAAGACTTAGACGGTCTGTTGTGCAGCCCACAACTCAGATTTTGGGCCTACTGTGCCACACTGAGCAGCCCGCCGGTCAATACTGGTCCTTGTGAGGGTTCGTGTCCTCCGAGACAGTCGAGTCGTCAGACACAGTCTTTAGCCCTACTCGGCCCGTGTGGGTTTGGTCAACAAGGCCCTATCCTTCATCCACAGAGTTCCTATCACCTGGACAGAACAGACTCAATGCAGAAAGAAGAGACAGACAGACTTGACTCAGCAAGTACCACAGGGTGTGTGCACATCCATAGGGCGAGGGGATAGGCTGAAGGCTTGGCAAGATTGTACCGACTCCAGCTTGGTCAAACTTGTGGTCAACGGTCTTGGTCAACGCCTGGGTCAACGCTTGGTCAACGCTGCAGTCAACCCCCAGTCAACTCACGGTCAACTTCGGTCAACGCCTGGTCAACTTCGGTCAACGCCCGGTCAACGTCCGGTCAACTCCTCTGGTCAGCTCCGGCTATGGCAGCCAGATTCTCCTTTGTTGCCAGACTCGCCACCCTTCTCCTTCCTTCTCTCT